ACAGATTTTGGAATAAATTCAAGAATCTCAGATTTAGGGTTGGATGCAGGAAGAGTGAACTGATTCACCAAGACAATGTGTTTAGAGTAAGGGGTGTTTCACTTTCTCTGGGGGCAGGTATTACATTCTCCAAGGAGCCTCTGTGTCTCCACAGTGCCTGAGCAAGCATGGATAGTGTGACTGTGCCTGAACAAGACTGAGGCAGCAAGAAACATGAAGACACTGCTCAGTCCAATGCACTATGGCGACTGACAGCAACTCCAGAAAGCTCTTTGCATATAAGCAAGAATAAAACTGATTCCACAAACGTGTTTGTGTGTAAATTTACATACAGTGCTCCAGTACCACAAAAAAAACCCCTGTACCTTTTACTGACATATGCGTTTGTTTAAAGAGGAATAACCAAAGAAACCTAGAGCCACCGCAAAGCAGAACTCTGTAACCACAGTGCTCTCAGACACATCAGACTTGTATTACCTGAAACAAATATTGGTCAAAATGGAGATAACATTTAGACACTTGCTTTAAAGTGTAGCATCCTTTCCACCTGCCAGTGCAGGCCGCAGAAGATACACTCTAGTTAACATATTACTGACAGGATGATGAGAAAGCTCCTGTCAGACACTGGCCAGCCGGATGTTTGAGACAAAACACAGAGCCCCAGCTGACTAGTTAGGGAGAGACTGGTGAGGTACAATTACAGAGGCATATGACAAGCTTTCATGCTTGAGTGACTTGAGAACCAATGACATGGCTTTAAACAGCAATCCTTCCTACCTCTGGTCACAAAACAGCAATAAGTCAACTGATGCACTGTTGTAAAATCATGATTTATTCCTTTGCTTTGAATACATGAGAGTGTGGTATGATGTTCTGGTAGACTACCACAGCAGGTGCACTTGGGGCCGAAACATCTAGGGCCTGCCTGCAGCATGCATAAAATCAATGCTGTAGTTCAGCCTTCCTGGAAAAGCCATCTCCAGCACTTTAATAATTTATACAAAGACTGAATTAAAAAATTATTTGTACTGAAATTCATAAAGCTCCATGCAACTAACAAGAATAGATGCAGATGCAGTGACGTGTGAGAAAACAGTGCTGTGTAAGAACATACAGCATGACATTTAGGAAAGGTCTTCCTTTTACAGCTAAAGTGAAACAACTAACAGCCACCTCTGAACAGATCAATTCCTTTGCTTCATTCATCCTTTCTTTTAATCCAAAGCCATATAATTTGTTTCACCTTCATAGTTTATTGTTCAAAAGCCAGAAATGGTACTTTTTGCTACAAACAGATCTTACAGAACATAATCCTCAGGCTAGCTTTATCCATCTCACTCTAACACTAAGCCTGAAGCAAGCTGTGAGGTTGCCGATAATCACATTACTAAAGTGGTTGGAAAGTCAAGCTAATAAAAGAATCAACAGATAGGGCAATAATGACCTAGAAGCTACGACAGAAAGGAGTGGTGGGAAGTTTCCACTTGTATCTTGGTAGTAATTGGTAGGGCAAGTAGACAAAGATCTCCATCAAAGGACATTTTTAAAGAGGGTAAAATCACAGAAAATCAATTTAAAGAAAGATGCAAAGAATACATAACAATTGTAAAAATCAGAAGATGCATTTAAAATAAAGCCTGCTTGGCTGAAATAAAATATAAGCTGACAATTGAAACACACCCTCAGGATAAAATAATGTTTGGGGTTTTTTTTCCTTCTTTTTTCCATTAAAAAAACTCTACTTGATAGCTTAAAATAGGCAATCTTCTTTTTTCTTTCTCATTTTTCCTCCACAGTAAACCTTCTTTTTCAACATAGCACCACTTTTTCCATAACAGGACTGATTGTTTACTTGGGTATGACTGAAGCATGAAATTTACAGGACAGAAATGCTGGACAAAGAATTCCTGTATCTAAGTAAGTGTAATTTTCTATTCCTGGCCCCTCACAAGAAGAGCGAGGAGAAAGTGAGCAAGGCCTTGAATTATGCCTTTTGTTATCAGTCACTGCCCTGAGATAGTGAACCGAAACAGAGCTGGTAACTCGAAGGTGACATCACAATTCAGTCTTCACGAACTGACATAAACACTTGATACTCAGTTAACCCCAAAGATAAGGCACAACTCCCTAAACAGAAAATTGTACTTGATAGCGCTATTTTTGAACAAATAATCTTTTCAAGTATCAGGCTGTAATTTAGGAAAATTAAAACACGACCTTTGCAACATGAAGTGCCAGTCTGCCGTGTTTTGTACACAGTAGTGAAACAGCACAAAGCTAGCACATGCTAACATTCAAATACACTCCATTTGCCCACTTATATTATATTAAGCAATCCAAAATTTTAAAGAAATATCTTATGCCAAAACCACATTCTTGGCAATTCAATTAAATTCTTGCAGGAGATATCAAGAAGTGTTAATAATTTGCTTTTTAAACTATATTGCTCTGTAAAGAAGCGAGCCTGGCATCAGTCCTGCTCTGTTTATGAGCTTAGCAGGCAGCAGTTCCCACTGATAAGCCAGCTCTGCTTTTCTGCTTTATCAGAACTCACTAGTGCAAGTGAAAATTAACCTAGTTCTATATCAAAATGGATCCTACATAATGTGGTAGTAATTTCATTTAGCTATGACTTCAGTAATGCTAGTAGTCTGAAAGAAATAGCCAGAAGAAGGTGAAATTGGTGTGCCATCTCATTTGGGACTTCACCTGCAATCTACTACCTACATTCACAGCTTGGGGATGTTCTTCAGGACATCCAAATGCCACTACAAAAGTCCGCTATTGCTACCTATTCTTGTTCAGGATAGATAAATTATTTTCAAGCGAGGACAACGTCAAGATGACTAATGCTTCATGAAAATGTTTGGAATAAACAGCTGAATTTTGAATAAAAGTTAGAGTTTCTCACAACCAGCATATTATATCTGTTCTTCTGCAATGACTTCCAAAGAGGTTGGAATCTGAACATAGAAATAAGGTGGGTCCAGATCAGTGGTGGTCAGTGTGATTCTGATACCTCTTCTCTCGTCTCATCATAGCAACAGGGATCAGATGAGATGTTCAACCCAACAAAAACAAGTCTTAAGAGGAACCAAACGTAGGCTGGGAGTACAAACCTAAATCATGTTAAGCAGACAGACACGTGCCCACTTGCAGAATGAATCTTCCACAGGCACAGAGCTGCCATCATCATTCCTATCTCCTCTCTACTGGAACAGCAAAAGGGGTTTGACTGGAACATAGCTGGAGCTTAGGTTTTTCTATAGTGTGGTTTGTTTGTTTGTTTGTTTTGGTTTTGTTTAATGTAACAGACTGGTATCCCAGGCTGGAAAACTGAAAAAAAAAAAAAAAAAAAAATTGATTCCACAATTTTACTACATCATGTGAACTTGTACTAGGCCAGGTTCTTTAAAAGGGCTTTCCCTTCACATTCTCTTCGCCCATTTGGGTGGCCTTATTACTGTGCTGTAATGCCCTGTCCTTCCCCTAAGTATTTTGGGGGCGGTGGGAAGAAGGAAGTGTGATAGAATATGGAAATTTCCTAAGATAAAGTTTAACCTTTGGTGGTTAAAAAATATACCATAGACTAGTAATCTGAAAATTGCTTATATTCATTCACTATTTATTTTTCTGCTTTTCAGTTGTTTGTGTGATCTCTGCTTATACAACTACATGTTTCTTTTACTCTCTAATCGCCATGGACTTAGCTCCATATTCTGCAGACCACTGGTCAAGTGCTATCAAGTGCATTCCCCTAATTGCACTGGTGACTGCAGATTCAGAGACCCAACACTGTGGTGTTAAAAAAACCATAAAAATAAAATAAGGCAGTTATATAATTGCTACTACCATCTATAATAGTAAAATGTGCCGGTCTTTTATGGCAATTCTGAATCTTCCCTATCTACAATTTACTTTTGACTCAAAAGAATTTAAAGGGGTTTTATCTACTATTTACAATCCAAACATTCTCACTCCTTACATGCACACATATGTATAGGAAATCAGCACCTGTATATATTTGAAAATATTAATTTCTAGTACTATATCTAACCTTGTACCTATAACTATTCATTTATTTGGTAGTACAGTTAGCAGTGCTCAGGAACATAAAGCTGATTTTCCACATAAAAAGCATATTAAACAACATGTTTTATGCAGTACTGTTAAAAAACAAAACAAAACAAAACAAACTATTTTCAATGACTGTGCTGAAGAGACCAAAGATTCTGCATATATAATATACTCTATGATGACAGTTGGTTAAAAAGTGACAGTCTTGTACTAATGCAAAATTGATTTTTGGAATATTTTCAAAATATATTTTAAAATACATTTTTAAAACTCATAAAATTCAGGAAAGAGTAAAAAAATTAACATCTGAGTATTTAGGTAAACTTTCAAAATGAAACACAACATTCTTTTATTAAATAGTCTAAGCAGTCATAAGGGAAAAAATATTTTAATGTGGGCAGTAGCCTAAAACCTTTAATAAAAAAAAATACTATTTTGAGTTGTACATTATTATCAGCCTGAAGAGCTGCTTCAAATCAGAGCTATTACCGTATGCACTCCCAAACCACTCTAACAAAGATGAATCTACCTATTACCAGGTTAGGATAGCAGCTATTATTATGAACCCTTGATTTCTTTCAAGTAGCTCCAATGGAATAAGCCACAAGTGAATAATAAAGATCTTATAATAGCCCTTAAGAATCCTTTTTAGGTGAGAAGGCACAGAAATGAACTCAGGAGAGTTAAAGAACTCTCATCTCCTGATAAGAAAAATAATTAACCTGACTTAATGTATCTGAGTAGGTCTTATATAAATCAGACTTTTGTACTTCAAGAGCCAGACTAAAACCATATATCAGAAAAGTATGTAGATATTGTCTTATAAGTACACATGGAACATATCTAAAATGACAAAGGTCTGCAGGTCATTTTGTGAAATGTTCAATATATTCTACTTAAAAGGAGATGTGTGAAGTACTTACAGTGCTTAGTTTGCTAGAGGTAATAATGATTCGTCTCTCATGCAACATACTGGCATAGAGTTGCAGCATGTTGTTCACATCCACAGCAACAAAATATTCAGTGAGGTTTCTCTGTTTAAATAAATAAGATGTTAACAATATAGCAACAGTAGCAGCTTATTACTTACATAAAATTTTGCCCAATTAGCAGGTGTGAAAAAAACCACGAACAAAACTATGAAAGAAATCCCTTTGCATTAAAATTGGTATGCTTTAAGGACAATTGATTGGGTTTTAAAGCCAAATATAAAATAACTTTAGTGTAAGTTACTAATATTTTGCTCATTTGATTATGCTTCTGAATTTAGATTTGCCCTCTTTTTTTTCAAATTTGAAAAAATATTAAATTCACGTTATATCCTGTATCAATAAAACCATACACTAGTAACGTAATCATTACTTCCAACCCAGGAACAGATCTTCTACCACGGCAGTAACTATTCTGTCATAGCTACAATAATAAAACTGTGCTATTTTGCTAGGATCTCCCAAAGTCAACACATTTTATTCCATCAGATGGATGGATGATGGCAGAGCGGTGGATG